ATTTTCACCTTTACCTATCAAAGAGACCAAGTATCATAAATGATGTAATCAAGGATTCACCATGTGAAGGCCTTAAGCATGATGCATTTTTCCCTCTGCTTCCAAGTAATATAAAATCAGATACTAAGGATTCGTTTGATATATAATGGTGGAAAGGAATTTCAATTCCTTGTTAGTTGGAAAATAAAAACTCACCAAACCTATAGGAATTCGTTTTCCATAAAAATAAAGAAAAGATTGCTTAAAGTGGTTGTACCTTGGAATTCGATTTCCATTTCCACATTACAATCAAAAGGCTAAAGTGGAATTCGTTTTCCTCGGATGCGACATTTTCCATGAAATTCGTTGCAATCAAACAGGGACTAACATTTAAGAAATTTAACCTCGCAATCTAATTTAAGAACTCAAAGCAATTCTAGAAGAAAAGAACAAGTATCGTATCGTGAATGAATGAAGTAACCAACTATCCATCATGAAGGCCATGAGCGTAATGCATTTCCCTATGCTTGCAGGTAATATAAGGGTCCGTTTGATTGCAATGGTGGAAAATGGGTGGAAAGAAAATGTTTTACAGAGAATTGATTTTTTTAGAAAATGTTTTAATGGCATTAAAACCTCGACTTTATTTTTTTATACGACTTCTAAAATTATTTAATATCGAGTAATACTTTGTTTTACTTAAATTGAACTACTAAAATCACGCTACGAATTCATTAAATATGTATATTTACTATTTAGGATTCACATCATTTCCAACAATACTAGCAATAACATTCATTAATCAACATTTAATTTTTCAATTTTTTACCCAATATTTTAAAATGAACTTCCGGAGAATTTACTGATTTCAACTATTATAGCTGCAAAGTGCAAAGAGTTGTTTAGAAATCAGCTACTAAACAACATTCAAGCTCGAAGGTCTAATTTGAGAACTCGAAGCAATTTCAGGTTTGATTGCGACGAATTCTATAGAAAATGTCACATTCGAGAAAAACGAATTTCATTTTGATCGTTTAATTGAAACTTGGAAATGGAAACCGAATTTCAACGTACAACCATTTAAAATTGCATTTTCTTTTTTTATGGAAAATGAATTCCTATGAGTTTGGTTGGTTTTTATTTTCCAACTAACATGAAATTGAAATTCATTTTCACATTCACCTACAAACAAACCAAGTATCACAAATGATGTAATCAAGGATTCACCATGTGAATGCCTTAAGCATGATGCATTTTTCCCTCTGCTTCCAAGTAATATAAAATCAGATACTAATGATCCGTTTGATATATAAAGGTGTAAAGGAATTTCAATTCCATGTTAGTTGAAAAATAAAAACTCACCAAACCTATAGGAATTCGTTTTCCATGAAAATAAAGAAAAGACTGCTTAAAGTGGTTGTACCTTGGAATTCGATTTCCATTTCCACATTGCAATTAAACGACTAAAGAAGGATTCGTTTTCCTCAAATGCGACATTTTCCATGGAATTCGTTGCAATCAAAAAGGGACTAACATTTAAGAAATTTAACCTTGCAATCTAATTTAAGAGCTCAAAGCAATTCCAGAAGAAGAGAACAAGTATCGTATCGTGAATGAATGAAGTAACCAACTATCCATCATGAAGGCCACAGCGTAATGCATTTCCCTATGCTTGCAAGTAATATAATAGATCTAGCGGTTCTTGGAGCTAGACACTTATTCTTATTAAGATTTGGGGTTTTATTTTAAAATGCCAACCTTATTAAGAGAAATAATTCAGCCTTATGATTCGACGTAGGATTTTTATCCCTTACCCCACAAGATGGTAACTTGTTTGAGTAGATGAATCTTGAAATTTGTGTAATCATTTTTTTGAGTTTTAATAGGATCAAATAGCTAATTTGAGTTTAATGGGCTTTGATATAAGATTTGAAATTCCATTTTAAAATGACGCAACGCGAAACAAGAAATTCAAACGAAAACTTTAATAACACAATTTTTGGAATCCTCCAAATTATGAAAAAATAAACTTACGAAATTTTATTATTGTTATATGATGAAAAACAATGAATTAACCCTTTTATAATAAAGGGTTTATATGAAAATCAAGTTTAAACAAATTAAAATCGAAAAAAATAAAATAAACTAAACAACAAAAATCGCACTAAAACTCTAAATACAGTTCTCGAATGGCCAAAATCCATTGTATGTCATAGGGTTATGAGTTCTACTCATCTCGTTGTTCTTTTTTCGGAATGATATTATGGGCTCAAACCGGAACTCAACTATCGCACTTGCACTATTATCTTTTTTCTTTACGGTCTAATTCTTTTCAATTCATTTGGCTATTTGTTCTGCATCATAAAATGTTAAACTTATTAAGAGGAGTAACGCAAACTCACATAAGTTAGTTTATGTTTTTATCTTTATTCGATGTACAAAATGCAACAAGCTAGCTTTAATCAATATGTACGTAACCTCACAAGCATGTGAACCACTAGGATTAACTCATTATGAGTCAAGACTAGCAAATTCTTGAATTCAATTGCATATTGCGGGAGCACACCTCGTCAAACAAGCCAACTATTTAAATCACATCCCGGTCACAAAATCTAGTGCGTGTGTCAATCGAACTCTGATTTTGGTCCATAATACCATTTCGAAAAGAGAACGACGATACGAGTGGAACACACAGCTATGCTGCTAAATACGATGGATTTTGACCATCCAAGTTCGTTTAGGAATCGAAAACTGCTTTTAAAATTTTAGTGCTACTTTTGTCATTTATTTTATTTCGAATTATATGCAATTTTAGTTTATTTAAACTAGATTTTCATGTAAATCCTTATAAATAAAGAGTTAATTCGTCGTTTTTTTATTATCTAACATTAATAAAATTTCGTGAATTTTTTTTATATTTGATGGATTCCAAAATTGTGTTTTTTAAGGTTTTCCTTAACTGCACCAAAAATTTTATCCCAACATCATGTTGGAAATATGAAAAACACATTATTCCTTGTTCATAAACTGTGGATAGACTAACTTCCATCTAGTTCTGAAATCAGTGTAGGCAATAGATAAGACAGCTGAGTTTGGAAGAATTTTGCACTTCATAGAATCATACTGCTAAAAGTAGAAAAAACCTAGAAGTCAACCTTTTTTTTTTTAAAGCAAAACACCAACTGTGGGTTTTTTATGCAGCAAGTAGGGAAAAACAATTCTTAATTGTTGGTACCTAAAATAAAGCAGCTGATTCAGTAGCATGGGCTGCGATAAAGGCCCGGTGTCATTATGTTAATAAAAAANGTATCCACCTTAGCATCCTCATTTCTGCTCTGGAATTTTTCTCTGTCTCTTGAAACTGACATTTTGAATCTCATGGCTAGTGTAGGAAATGATGATAGAAATAAACCAAGAATGAACGTAGGTACGATCGCATTCTAACATGAAAATGTATTTGCAGAGGCGGAGCCAGTCCTTCAAACTAGAGGGGTCTCGGAGTTGAAGGGGTGGCCTACGGAAATTTTTTTTTAAAACATTATCGGTTAAAAAGAGGAAAGTTTGTTCTTGTGATAGAGAAATGAAACAAAGGAACGTAAATTAATGTACGAAGATTTCACAAAAAAATCAAGAAACATATAAAAGAAACTACTAATCTTTAATTTAGCAAAATCAAACCTTATTACAAGCATTCCTTTCAAGTTTAAGTTTTTTGGATTGGTAGGGTTTAAATTTTTTATTCATTTGAGGACAAAATGTTAAATACAAAAAATAAAATTTTAAAATAAAAAAAAATTGTCAAAAATTTGGGGGATTGGGGAGGGGGTCTGGGTCCCCCCAAGACCCCCTCCCTCCGCCCCTGATCATCGTCATTTGCAGACGAGAACTCCCATTCCCTTTGAAGAACTCTGTGACAAATTGATCCATCAAGAGACTTTTTTGCATGCCGTTGTACACAATTCAAACGGAAATAATTTCTCTATTGATCAAAATTGAAAATATGTAAGTCTACTTACTCGATAATAAAAGTAAAAGTTACCATAAAAAAAATTAACGAATTCATACATAATTAAAAACGAGAAGTTATACTTATTTTTAAATTTAACCAAATAAAAATCGATATTTGTTATTATTCTTTCAAGTGTATCTCGTCATTATCCTTAATTAAGCGTGCACGTAATTACTTTTTAATAAAGGGTAGATCGCTAACTTTCGAGCAATTTTTAAAGTGTCCCTCGTCACATGGTTTTAAATATTGGGGCTTAATTACGTCATTTTCTTCATTAATTAGCCACCTACTATGCAAATAGTCATTACCAACAAAGGCCAAATTTCACATGTAGCTTGCTTGAATCACTTTATAGATTTACACTTACCAATAATCCACTTTTTTTAAAAAAAAAAAAAAAAAATTAATAGAGAGAATATTATTGAATTATTGATATTTTAATCTTGATATAATGTTTTAGTTAGTAATTATTTGAACTTCGACATTTGCTCAAATACTATATTTAAATTTGTGTTTTCATCATTTTATAAGTTACGTCGAGTCTAATCTATATATAAACTCATCTTCATATATTAGTTAAACTTTTGTTCTCAAATCTCCCAACAATTTCATTTGAACGAAATACTGATCATGACCACACATGATTGTAATAATCCACTTCCTTCCACATCATTGTTCGAGATCTAATTTATTTTCATCGTGCTTAGTTTACGTTCACATATAGAGGATCCATCACCTCAAGAATTCTCTATTACAAAATTTTTATTAATCGACTTAAAATTTTTTCTAATCGGGTCCTAACTCCGTCCCTAACACATTTCCAACCGTACTTTTTTTCCTTCGCCTTTCCTTCCTATGACCTATCCCAACCACCTCGTTACCTTTCCTTTCTCGTCGCCTTCCTGTCCCAATCCCAACCCTAACGGTATTCAACCTCCATCTATACATCAAAGTCAAACAAACCACAGAATCTGATTCTACACTTCATAGGAATTCACATACATCAAGAAATATGAGTAGTGGAGGTGGCGGCCTAAGCAAACTAGGCACAGCACTAACTATAATATTTGTAATCGCACTGGTGGCACTCTTCACTGAACTTTTCTATGTCTTGTGGCGCCGCCGTGTCTTCCGCCGTCAAAATCCCACCGTCGTCCAAGGAGGTGGAGATCAACTATCCCAGTATTCTTCAGACTGCTCTGTATCTTCCGCAGCTTCCTCCAAAGAGCTCCTCTACTTCTTCTGCATTAGACCACGAGAAACCAACTCAAATACGGACAGTCTGAACTCGAACGCGCCGCCGCAGATGGATATAGATGTGCTGAAACTTCAGGGCATGTATGGACCGTCAAGATTCTTGTTTACTATTAATGAAGAGGAGAGAGAAGATTTTGAATTGCCTCCTGCAGAAAAAGATCAGAATCAGAGCGAGACAGTCAGCTTGGAGGACGGTTTCAATTTGACTGAAGAGTCACAGGAGGAGTTTGTGGTGGTGGTGGCGGCAGCGGAGGAGGAGGTTGATCATGTTAGAGGTATTGACGTGACGCCATTTTCAACGCCTTGTGGTTCGCCCGTTTATTTCACTCCCTCCGCTTCTCCGGTTCACGAATTGGTCCGTGCTCGGTCCATAGAAGAAGGCAGTGTTTCTGTTATTGAAACGACGGCGTTTGCAGGGGGATAGCCAACTTGGTATATTATTAATTTTTTTATTTTGTATAGTTTTCGAGTGAAATTAAGGTTGTCGGTCGGTCCGTTGGACCGGAACCCTTTAACGTAGTTGTCCTATCAAGTTCAACTTATGGCCCCGTTTGGTACACATTATTTTTTTCATTCTCATTCTTCTACTCGTTTTCAACCACACATTCTTCAATAAAATAATATTTTTCATCACATCAATAACTTTTCCTTCATTTTTATATTTTTTTCATTCTCATTCTTCTACTCATTTTCAACCACACATTTTTCAATAAAATAATATTTTCCATCACATCAATAACTTTTCCTTCATTTTTAACCACACATTCTCCATCAATCTACTATTTAATAATACATTCTTTCAAAAGAATGTGCCACAAACACACTCTATATATCTCTGATCTCTCAAAACTTCGACAAATACTCTTTCTATAATGCTGATCCAAGACAGCGAAAAGTTTCATTTATAATAACATTTTCTAGATTTAATTGTTTTTAACCAGAATTAATTAGAAGGTAAATTAATATAGCGAAAGTATAAGAAAAGATTTATATATTCAAATAGTCATTGATTCTAGGATTACTCGAGAATTCGAATTCAATAATTTGTTCGATTCGTCAAAATGAATACTAAACAATCAAGGATATCGAGAAACTCTCAACTTTTATTTAAAGGACGTTCAAAGTAAAAAAATATAAAATAAATAAAATTGACCAATTCAAGTTTACAAATTAATTCATGTGGCATTTCGTCTAATTTTAACGTCCACGTGTACGGAAAAATCCCATGAATTGAATTACCGTCCTCTAACGGAAGGATTGAAATTGAAATAAAACTAAAAAATTATGATTTGATTGATACTTTTTAAGTAAGGTGACCCAATTGAGACTTTGGTCGAAGTTTAATGACCAATAAAATTTACCCTATTCTATCACATTGTAATATCACGAGCATGTTTAGGCGCTAAGTTTTAAAGAAGTAGAGTTATTTCAAGGTAAATTTTGTCTTCCAACTCCTCCTGTACTTTTTTTTTTTTAATTTTTAAGTAAGAAATGTAATTTTTAATAAGTATGGTTCCATCCGTCTGTGGTTGAACACTTTTGTCACGCGCCTGAAGCATCATTGACGTACACGTTCATCCTGCTTCTTATCGGTGTTCAGGTCAAAACGCTCCGAAATTTGCTTGAATTGGCGACTGAAAAAACGCGACCCTATTTAATTTCAAAATACGAAAATTTCATATTTTTAATTTTCATGAGAAAAATGACATTTCTTTAAAAATTTACTTATAACTTTTTAAGTTGTTAGATCAAAATGGAAAAGCTACTCATTGAAATTAATAATTTGTAATCGACTAGGTGAATTATTTTTAATAATCTGTAATCTTGATGATATAAAACACATTAATCAGTTCTATATTCTTTTAAAAAAAAAAAAACTGTGATAATGCAAAAAGAATATATATCACATTTTCATTTCAGGCAATTTTCTTACGAGCGAGGAAGTTTTCTTAATCATGTTACATACTAAATGTGAATTAAGATTACATTTATTTAGGTTTAAAATAAATTGATCAGGCATAAAAGTTATTTATGAGTTTTTTAATTAAATCACTCTTAGTGACACGTTTTATTAATAACAAAATAAATAGCGTACTCATCACTTCCAATCAATTATAAGCAACGAAAAAAAGTTGTCCCGTTCTAAGTCGAGGTGTTCCCACATGCATGAAATACGACATTTCACGCTATCTAGTTTAAAGTTGTATATAAGTTTCGATAATTAAAGTTATGGGTTTTAGACTTTTAGGTATCAAAACATGGATCGGATTATACATGTAAAGATCGAATCTATTAGAATTGTATTTGACGATGGATTAAATACGTATGAAAATATAAATAGGGTTATAGTAATTTCTCATTCTTTCCCATAATGCAAGAGAAAATATATTGAAAAGAAAAATTCGAAATTCACAATCAAGAACAGGCAATCTACAATTAAGAAGAAGGAATTCAAGAATCAAGACTATGGATCAAGAATCAAAACCAATTCTCATTCTTTCCCGCCCCGTCCCCGTTTAAGTTGGGGCGGGGTCCCTTCCCCG